AAAAAAACAAAAAAACAAAACAAAAAAACCAACATCGAGGTTCCGTCTTACTCCAGAAAGAATAGCAAGTATCAAGAAATCAGATAAAAATAAATGCTAGCTAGGCTGCAGAGTGGGGAAGGGCAGGAGAGAGGAATTCTTCTACATTGTTGGTGGGAATGTAAACTAGTACAACCACTGTGGAAATCAGTATGGAGATTCCTCAGAAAACTAAATCTAGAAATTCCATTCAACCCAGATATTCCCCTTTTAGGTATCTTCCCCAAAGAGCTGAAGACATATAGCAGTGACCCATGCATATAGCAGCACAGTTCTCAATAGCTAAATCTTGGAAGCAGGCTGTGTGTCCATCCGCAGATGAGTGGATAAACAAAATGTGGTGTTTATACACAGTGGGGTCCTCGTCTGCCATAAAGAAGGATACACTTGAGTCACTTATAGGAAAATGGATACACCTTGTAACTATAATGTTAAATGAAATAAACCAGACACATAGGCTTGAATACCACATGGTTTCTCTTACTTGAGGAACTTAAAACATTAATAAAGAGCAAAATAAAAGACAGATAATAGGAAGTAGGGAGCTAGATCTTTTTCAAATGGGAAGGGAACTAAGAGATGGGGAAGGGGATGCAGGAGTAACTGAGATGTGTGATGAACACCCACCAACTCTGGTAAGGAGTGTAATCATTGTGTACTGCAGCCAAGAACTAATAAAAATGAAAACTGAAGAAACAAGTTACAGGAAAGAGCAGCTTTGTTTCTGAGAGGGTGGAATTATGAAAAAGCTGATCTAAGCCTGTTGTGGAGCTGAGCCGTGGAAGAACCCTTCCTGATTACACTTTCTATTTTCCTGTGGATTAGGTTTGAAAGTGCTTCTGTCAAACAAGTGCAATTTCCCTTAATGGACATTGGAATTCTAGTATGTAGGCATTTTACTGACTTTTAAAAGTTAACTTCAGTGAGAAGTCTCATTTTATTGATATACAGGATTGACACTTTGACAGCATTTAAAATTGCGATCTCCAATACCAGCATGTTCGATGTATTTTCTTTTATACATCGAGTATGGGAAGATGATTATGATAATCTGTTGGGAAGTGTGTATAGAGGGCAAAGCAGTGTAGTATATATTTCACCCTTTTCCGAGTGTTTCATTTTATACTGGTTTAAGCAGCTCCGTATTCAAACATTAGCAATATGTCTTCCTTCTGGTTCCGGAAATTCCTTTGCGCTTGCTGTGCTTGTGTTGATATTAGGGAATGAGAATTTACTAACCAGATCTACTCACTGCTGAATTGTTAACAAATCACATTTAGAAGATGTGTATGCCGTGCAGTAATTATCTGTCGAATAGGCTGGATATATAGTCCCTTAGGACCTTTGTGTTTTTCTATTCTCTTGGCCCGAGGTTTCTTTCAGTTTTACTTACTAACTTTAAGTCTCTATTCACTCATCATTTTCTCAGTGAGACTCACCCAGCACCTTACTCCCCCTTCGTGATGCTTGACTTCCTGTTTATCATTGTTTGATTATTTGTTTCATCAGATGCCATGCAGTAAGTTTGAGGTGCCACGAGGGCTGGGGGTTCTGCCCACTTGGTTCACCGCTGTACTGGGGCCGAGAGCAGTGCCTGGCACACGCAGGTTTCTATTGGTTGGATATGTGGAAAAGAAATTGAATGGATAAAATTGTGCATGTGTCACTTGTATTTGGCTATGCTTTATCTGTCAGTAACCCAGAACCCGATTTGAACTGAAATATTATGACTGAATGTGATGACTCTCTGGGTAGGAGACCCGCTAGGGTGCATGCCAGGTATCACTGGCGTCGGGCCTCTCTTCTGGGTTCAGCGCACCTGCCCCACTGCTGCCACCTCAGGGAGGTTTGCTGCACAGTGGACCATCGCTGTTGCTTGGCCCAGGCCCCTGACACCCATCCCAGACTCTTTTGTACTGGCTGAGCCCATATTGCCCTGTGTCCATGGCCAGTCATTTGTGGTGGAAAGTCTGAGAGTGAATCCTGTGTGCTCGGGCCTTCAACCTCAGAACTGAAGAGTCAGCTCCTGTGCATTCCTTAAGCTCATCTACAGAGCAAGTCAATGGGACTCATTTCACTTTCTATTGCTCCAGGCGAGCAGGAGTCTGTGTGAACACGCGAATCATGACATCTTCCTTTTGCTGCCCCCAACTTGATCTTATCAGTGGCTACTGGTAAGAATTGGGCACCGAGGAGCATCTGAGATATTTTGAGATCAAGCTTGTCACTTTTCAGGCTCTCTAACAGGCATCAGAGGCACCTTGTGGCTGTGGCATCTCTTCTGTCCAGTCCAGCATTCTCAGCCAGGATGAAATGTCCACTTATAGTCTTGGATTATGGAATGATTTCAGGACGGTGTATTTAAAACCAAAGTGAGTGGCCTGGGTGGGTGCCGCATTGCTGCAGGTACGCTCACTTGCACATATTACCCATTGCCACATATTATCAATTTGCCAATTGAGAAGCCGGTTCCTGAGAGTCTGGGCACTGGGGCGGCATGGTGTGATGGATGTGGGTGGTACAGGAACACAGCATTGGAGCCCAGGGACTGTGGCATCAGTTGAGGATGGCAGATGTGGGTGAATGGCATGGGGAGAGGCCATGACTAGGAAAGAACGTGACAGGTTGGAAGCCGGGCAGTCAGAGAGAAAGGGGAGCACAGGAAAGGAGAGCCACGTGACTCCAAGGACAACTGGGTTTCACACTGAGTCTGCTATGGCTCCCACCTGCCAGGTGACAGGAGCCTTTTCTCTTTAAAGATGGAGAAATAGATCAGAATGATAAGTTATGAGACTTGGACTAGCATGTTTTGGGTTCACAATCCTCATTTAGCTCCTTTATTTATTTTTTTGTTTGAGACAGGGTCTCACTATGTAGTTCAGGCTGGCCTTGAACTCACTTTGTAGCCCAGGCTGGCCTTGAACTCGCAGTGATGCTCCTGCCTCAGCCTCCTGAGTGCTAGGACTACAGGCATGAGCCACCACACCTGGCTGCTTTCTTTTTTAATTAATAATTGGATTTGGGCTTGGAAATGACACCCAGGTTTTGCTGTGTTCTACACGTTTCCTGGGGTTTGAGCACAGAGCTATGCCTGGGAATGATTAGGCCCACACAAGAAAGCAAATAAGCCAGTAATTTCAGTGCAACAAAATGTCGCACCTTGGTGTATTTATGGTGACTGTTTAGCAGGTTCTTTCCCTCCTAGATCCCCACACCCACTCAGCCTGAGGCCAATGAGTCATCATGGTGGTGTGGAGTGGTTAGGGTTGGGTTCTGGGAACAATCCCGGCCCCATCACGGACTCCTCTGACCTATAACAGATGCTGCTGATCTTCTTACCATCATTCTCACAAGATTTGGGATGAGAAATGAGGTAATGTCTCCTCAGACCTGCGAGCTTCTCGGAATAGCAGCATTTACAGTAATATGATTTCCTAATGCATTCACTTGTGTTGTAGTGGAGTAAATTCCATTTACCTAAACTTCTTTAGGTGCTGCTGAGATATCTGACTGTCTTGATATTGAGAGCTGGGCCTAGACTAGATCCTGCAAGGAATACTCAGTCACGTGAGCCAGCTACACCTTTCTGAGGTCAGAGAAAGAGGCTAGGAGAGGAAGGAATGAAAACTACCTTTGAGGAACTAAGAGGAGGAAGATTATAATTAGCTCTATGGAATTTGTGGCAAACTTTAAATTGTGTTGCTTTTCTAATGATCAGTGTCCTAATATCTTAAAAATATAGGTGTATTTGAGTTTGGCAGTTTGCATATTGGGCGGCTTATCTGCGGCCCTGATCTCTGGTCTTTGTGATGAACTCTAACACAGCCTCCATCAAATTTAATTCATTTTGCTCCTCCGGCCAACATCTAGTGGCTTAACAATGTGTTTCTGACTCCGATACCAGCATTTTATACAAACACTGACAAATACATAGATTGATTTGTAAAATACCTAGTCAGTTATTAAATAATGCTTTATCTTTGTTCTGCACATAAGGGAATAAGTCTTTTTAAATTAAAACAGTCGTGACCAGTCTAAATTTTTATAGCCAGTGCAGCAGAATTACAATGAAGTTGACCTTCTAGGGAGTCTTAGAAAGAAAGATTAAAGCAATTGATGGAAAATGAGGAAAGAACCATGTGTCCTCTCTGATATGCTCTGAAGATATGAATTTATGTTACAGTTATCTGTATTCGACAGTTTGGCTGTGGGATTTTCTAGAAGTAGGTGGTTCTTTGGAGGTTTCAAAAGGATGTCAGCATTTTATAAAGGAACTTTAACATACTGAGTTTAACTAGAAAAACAGCATGTGTTCAGCCTCAAAGAGGTGACTATATACACTTTTCAAGAGCAATTACTGTAGCTTGTAATTTTAGAGACAAGACACTAATCATATCTTTTTCTGAGCAAGGAAAGGATTATGAATTTCATTTATTAAATAATAGAATATTGTGCAGAGTGACTACATCTAACCACCTCAAATGTGACATGACAGTAAATAAATCCTTATCAAATTTTGTGTTTATTTGATTTCACAGAATGCCAGGCATACATAAGAAAAGTCACGTTGTTTCTTAAATTAATAATGTTGTCTTACCTAAGGAAATGACAATAGGATTCTGCACAGCTGCTTCTTAGAACAAAGTGATCTTTTAGTAAAAATGTATGACTCAGAGATACAGTTCAAATGAAGTTAAGTTGTAAATAATCTTAATAAAACCTCATTTCTTCTTCCTGACAGCTTACTGGGTTTTTTTTGGATAACTTATTGGTTTAAAAGAGCATTTTAGGATGTTAAATGTAGTTTTTATGTTCTCGTGTAAAATTTCATGATACATTTATGACTTTCTCCCATTGTATATGAATATAGATAAGACATACTTGTAAAAGGTTGAAAAATATCTTCTCTTTATTGATCTATTTCAGGCTGAATTACAATGTTTTGTTTGAATTTGTTTCAGAATCGAAGCAAACGCTTGGAGAAGGTTCATGTGGTTATTGGACCTAAATCATGTGACTTGGATGCTCTCATTTCTGCCTTTACATATGCTTACTTTCTAGACAAGGTGAGGAGCAAAGATTATATCTTCTATACTTGGATTTTGTGACTTCTAAGAAGGAACAATTGCTAGAAAAAAAAGATAGCTATCAACTTTATTTTTATTGTTGCAGAAAATAAAGCATTGTGATCCATTAATCAACAAATATCTGTTAAGCACCCACTACATCTGTATTGTGTTCTAGTTATTCCTTACTGATTCTCTTCATAAAACCTTGTTTCAATAAGGTAAATGCTTTAAAATGAGAAATTTAGTCTGCTTATCATAGTTAGTTACTTTTATGGGAATGGAGGGGACTAACAAAATTAAGGTCAGAAGTTCTTATTTTTGTTCATCATCCTGTTGGATAGATTCACCCTTGGGATAGAAGACTTTGCACAGTATAACCATTATGAACATTCCATGGAGTACAGGGCATATAGTCTGAGATTTTCAAAGACAGAGGAATTACTGGTCAAATCTACCTTCTACAAGCTCTTGTTTGCTCTTGCCTTTTAGCCCTTATATCAAGGCCATAACCTGCCTTGAGGGAAACCTTTCTACTCGGTGAAGCACAGACACACCGAGACAAGTGCGAAAGATCTTCAATGTACTGTTCTTAACTTTCCCTCCCATAAAATTCATCAGCCCATGATGATAAACTTTATCACCTTAAAAACCTAAATATGTACACAATAAATCTCTGAGTGCTACTTTCAAAACTTTCACACAATTTTTAATTTTCCAGAGTCTAGTTTGTTTTATTCCATTTTTTTAAATCCTTGGCCCTGACAGTGTGTGTAGCTGATCTAGAGCCATTGATATTCACAGGAAAGCCAGTCTTCCAGAATGAGCTGCGGGTGGTGAGAACTGCTTTAGGGCAGCAGCTGACAAAAACGACGGCTAAAACATTCTGATCTCTACATGTGGGCTTTATATCAAATTTATCTTAAAATTTGTTGAACTTTGCAAGAGAGATTAATTGGTATGAGGAGATAAATGTGCGTACGTCAAGGCATGCATATTAAACATTACTCTTAACTGGGTGTTTTGTTCGTCCAGAGAACAGACAGTTGACTGAACTAGACTGATTTTTAGACTAACAGTGGCCTAGACCTGGAAGGAAATTCTGTAATAATACCATCACCACCAACACCGGAGTCTTGAGTGAATACAATGATACACAACAAAAGAGGCTGGGGAGGTAATTATGTAAGATGAAATAGGTATATAGAAATAGACACATGGGTCCTCCTCTCTTTTTTGAAGCCTTGTCACTAAGCATGGGAACAAAGGGGAATGACTGAGTCCCCTACTGGGGATCTGCTGCCTCAGTTCACTGGGCTCTGCCCCCTACAAATGGGCTTCACCCTATTTAAATTTGTCCTGAGAACCCAGTTTCTCCTTCTCAGAGTACTGACACATAGGATAAGCCCAGAGCTCTTCAGGCTTGCACATGTGACCCAGTTTAGGTCCTTCTTACTTTGATAGGTGAACTCCATTCTACAGATAAGGAAAACTGAGGGTTAGAGAGGACAATAGCTTCCTTCAAGTCACATGGCAGAGACTGGTGCCACAACCTAGGCCTTCTGACTCCAACTTCACAAGAGGTCCTTCCTGCACAGGGTCAGGCCACATGCTCTCTCCTTATCAGAAGTTAGATAGCCCTCTCACTGAATCAGCAAAGAAAACTTGCCATCCATACATTGCTAATGATTATTATGCAACTGTGACTCAGTAGTAACATTGCAGGTGAGAGAAAGACCACACTGTGGGAGTAGCTTTGTGCTTTATATTCTATAGCAGTGGCTGACTCATTTATTTCACTCAATAAATATTAAATGTTCACTAGGTGCCAGCCAGTCTGATGTACCGGGAGACATAATTGAGCAAAACAGTCGGAAAAGCCTGACTGTTTCATGCCACGCAGGGGAGACAGATGACAAAGACAATAAACAGTGTATTAGGCACTGGGCTTATGGCAGAACTGGTGACAAAATGAGAATAAAGACCATTTGCCTTCTATAAAATGTGGCCAAACTCTGAATTCTTTCAGTGATTGTGATTTTGGAGCTGATTGCTAACTGCTCGTAGTAATTTTTAAAAACACCTTTATTTTTAAAAATTCCTAGAGGAAAATAAGTTTATTATTGTAAATTTGGAATTCTCTTTCTCCCACCCATCTCCCGTTTATCCTACTTACTGAAAAATTTTCGGAGAGGTTCTTGAACATAAGCTTTTTAGAACAGATCACCATCTGTTAGTTTGTTGGCCAAATCTATCTACTAAATTAGTTTTTGGTGTCGTGCATTCTGTTTTGTCATTTTGAAACTTGATTGTAACAATTCAGCACCAGAGATAGTACCTGGAGATCTAGGTGTTCTTAGGAGGTGGAAGATTTGACTATAGTAGGTTTGCATTTTTGCAAGTGAGCAATTGGCTGGATCTGAGTGGCAGGCGTCCCACTTAGATGTGGTGTTGTGTGCCTTCCTGTGTCTCCAAAGTACCTGCCTCCCTGCCTGCCTTGGTCATTCCAATTTTCCTCTGGTCCCATAAACACATGGGGGGTTGTTACCGCTGGAAAAGAATGCAATTGAGATTCAGAGTTAGCATTACAGGGGAAAGAAAACCATGTTGTTGGTTTAGTCATTGTTTTTGTTGCTGTTGTTACTGTTTTGTTTTACTGTGGAAGGGTTGGAGTGAGACATAAAATACTTCAAGTAAGACGTGAGAGGTTTCAAGAAGTTAGGAAACGTCAGGGGCCATGACCCAGTGCACAGCTCCCTACTAACTGGGTTCAGGGAAATCTGGTGATACATGGTTTAGTGCAGCCAAAGGACTTGCCAGTTACCATTGCAGGTTACTTTCAGGCAACTGGAAAGGTAGATAGTTCTGTCTTCCCTCCTGCTCTTGAGTGACTCTGTCCAATTTTCTCTTGGTAGGTCAGCCCACCTGGGGTTCTCTGTTTACCAGTACTGAATATTCCAAGAACTGAATTCAACTACTTCACTGAGACCAGGTTTATTTTAGAAGAGCTGAATATCTCTGAATCCTTCCACATATTCCGAGATGAAATTAATCTGCATCAGCTAAATGATGAAGGGAAGTTATCTATAACCCTTGTTGGTAGCAACATCCTGGCAAGGTAAGACTCACTTCGAGGTGGGAGGGGATTGGTCCTTTAATAGAAGGTCCTCTGGGCAGTTGTCACCTTGCTCAGGTTTGTTGGGGTTTAGAGAGATGCATTGAAAGCAGAGGATGTTCAAAGGAAAGAGAATTTATTTTCTTCTTTTGTAACAAAATTTGGGCTCTGTCAATTCTGTTTTTTCTTTTACATTTAAAATACAACTTTCTTAAGTGGAAAGCTTTTGTAAAATTAACCAGAATTAAAATTTTAAACCATCAAAACATTTTCATATAGAAACACAATAATCTTATGGATTAATTCTGAAAATAGGAAATGGAAATGGAAATGGAAATCAAACACTAGATAGAACTGAAAGTTTCCTAAGAAAGAAATCTCAACAGTGAAATGGAAATATAAGTAAAGATGGGCCATGAAAATCATTTGTTCATTGGTTTGTGCACTCATAGCATTTTAGAATCAATTCATGAATGTTGATATAGTTCAAGCTCCTTATTTTATGGGCAGAAAACCTGAAACCCAGTGTTACAGATGACTTAACCATGTAGTTAATATAAGAGTTCAGATTAGAAGTTGGATCTTCTGCCTCCTTCAGTAAACACTTAAGAGTGTTAACTGAGACAAGAACCTAAAGCTTCATTAAGAGGAATAACACAAATCTTCTGCCTTCAGTGACGTGCAAAGATGTCCTTGGGAGAAGCTGTCTGCCACTACTGAGTGAAGACTCATCACGAATCACCTCCATAGCTTGAACTGTTCATTCTCTGCATAGTTTGTCAATTTGCTAATTGTTGATGAACTCACCAGTGGAAACTGACATTAATATATATAAAATAAGAACTTTTCCATTAATCGTTTTTAAATTGAATCTTTTAAATACATTCAGGAATGAATATATTATATTTAGGTAGGAATATATTATAATATATATTTAGGTATAAATACTTTATATTATAATTCATGCAATTCATTTTATGATATGTTTTACAAACAATCACCTATGTGGAGCTGCTTTTATCCCTATGCTAGTTGAAACAAATGAAATTCTTTTGAATCATATTTACCAATCAATGGACAAGTGGTTGGAAGTTATTAGTAGGTAGTTTGGACTGACTTCAGTTTTCATTTGTATTTGTCAGCTTTCTGTTACTATAATGAAATATCTGACACAGGTAGTACAGAGAGATTTGTTTTGGCTCATAGTTCTGGAGTTTCAAGTTTGAGATCAGGTGGTCCCACTATTTTGGGCTGTGGTGAGGTGGCATATCAGCAAGTACAGAAGAAAACCAGTCACATCTCCAGCCAGGAACAGAGAGACTAAAGAGGTCAGTGTCCCACGGACTCTCCCTTAGAACATCTCCCCATGACCTAGGCTCCTTCTCTTAAAGGTCCATAGTACTTCCCCCAACCTCCACCTCAGGGATCATGATTTTATATATAGACTTAGGGGACACTGAAAATACACCAAAACCATAGCTTTTATATTCAGGTTAATCATACGTTTGGCTAAATTTATGTGTTAACGTTTCCAAACCAAGTAATTCAAGTACACTTGAGCAAAGACAGAGTACAAAGCTAAAGGAGTGAACTATGGAATGAATGTATCAATCAAAATCTGAGAATTTTGACCAATTAAAAATATAAATATTCATTCTGATTTTCAGAACTGAAATTGTGAACTCTGGCACTGGGATTGTTTATAACACAGAATGCCTTTCAAAAATTAATTGAAGTCCTTAATTCTTCCATTGTTACTCATATGTTTTTCACAGAATGAAGTCAGCTCTAGCCAGTATTTTCTTCCTAGCTTTGATAAACACCACTCCTACATCATATTTAAGGAATGATGGTAGAAGTAAATAAGCCCAGTGGTAATTTTTTTTACACCACAGTTTCAGTATATACAAAATTTTGAAGCTAAATTGTCAGAGTTTAAATATACTTATCTGCTGGCTGGTTGTGTGCTCTTGAACAAATTTCTTAACTGTTTTGTGCTTCAGTTTCCCCATTTGTAAATAGGAAATTTTATTAGAAACTATTTAATAGGGTCATTTCATTGTATAAAATATGACAACATAAGCTGAGTATGTGGAATGATTCTGTTCTGTACTGGAACGTCAGTAAGTGTTAGCTATTATTTCCCAAGTGTGAAAAAAGAGATTGGGTTTGTCATGGCTTATGTATACTTTGTTTTTGTCTTTTTGAGACAGGATCTCGCTATGCAGTTCAGGCTGATCTTGAGTTCACTTTGTAGCCCAGGCTGGTCTCAAACTCACAACAATCCTCCTGCTTCAGCCTCTTGAGTGCTGGGATTACAGGTGCCCCAACAGGCCCAGCTCAAATAGCTCACATCTAGATGCCCCCCCCCCCCGCAACCTTGTGTGGTCATAGTAGGGCTTTTCAGAGCTGGTTGAATCTAGAGTGTGTAATGCTGGGATTAAGGGTTTGCTATTATTAAATTAGTCCACTGATTGGTTTGGAATAGTTCTGGGTAGGATTAAAGATGCTCCACCCTGGGTGTGAATGCAGGTAGCCTGGATAAGATATAAGGGACAGAAAAAGAGCTAGTGTTGCTAGTTGTCACTTACTGCTCCTTCACTTGCTTGCTGCTTGCTGCCTTCTGCCTGCCCTGCTTTGCCATGAACTGTTTCTCCTCCACAATGCCCCTCAACCATGCCACTCTGCCTTGGAGCCAGCCAACTTTGAACTGAAACTTCTACAAACTGTGAGCCAAATCCTCCCTTAACTTGCAGGTGTTGGGCATTTTGTTTCAGCAGCAAGAAAAGTATCTAAGATAGAGTTGCTAAGGTGCAAAGATATTTTAGGACTCTTGCAGGAAGTAATTGGTTGAAATGAAATGTGAAAAGACTTGGATCAGGGCTCCACTCTTTAGCGTCATATAAGTTTACTCATATATTTGCTTACTGAGAAGAAATTATTTTTTGCAGGAACAGAGACCAAATAATTCCAAAAAGTGAGAAAATGCTTCCTCGCCACAGCCCTTTTTACTTCTTCTCTTCCATTTGCTTTACAGTGAGGATAAACCGTTAGAATCAGCAGTTGTCAAAGTCATTAGCCCGGTTGAGCAGAACAGTGCTGAGCTGGAGTTCCAAGAGTCTTCCTCATCCCTTGTGCTGAAAGAGCTTCTCCAGGAGGCTCCAGAGCTCCTCACCGAGCAGCTGGCTCATCTCCTCAGAGGTGAGTGACAGCACTTTCTATTAAATACTGGAAGGCTTAATGGAGTGGCTCGTGACCTGCCCATGCAGAAATACTGCGATCCATTCTTGGGTTAACAATCCCTTTAAAGACCACAGGAAGCTTCATCAGAGAGGCAGGGAGTAAAGAGTTTGTTAAAGAGTAGCATTATATTGAATATTAAAAATGTGCATTTAAAAATAGGCACAAAGGGCCTTGCTGTTTTGCTAGACAAGAATATTAAATGGAGCTGCTGCACCTCTGTTGGAGAGCCAGAGTAGCTCGGCTGTTTTGACAGCTTCCAGTGTGATTCTTGCCCTACAGTAGCATAAATATGGACCAGAATTCCATATGCCCACCTAGGATCATCTCCTGATACTTACACATGCTTGGTTTACATAGTACACTTTGCCTGGCAAATATGCACCTTAATTTCAGTGATATTGGATCAGGTGTTTCAAAGTCAAATGTTACCTCCTTTCACTTTCATCCTGTAGCATAGTCCATCTTCATTCTGTTTTAAGCCCTGGGGTTGTGAGTGCCATCATCGATTGCAGTAGAGCCTCAGTATCCATGGGTCCCACATCCATGGATTTAATGAGCTTCCTATTGAAACTATTTTAAAATTTAGCCTCTGTAAGTGAACAGGTACAGACTTGTTTCTTGTTGTTGTTCTCTAAGCAATAACATGTAACAACTATTTACCTGGTACTGCCACTGTAGTGGGTATTATAAATAGTCTAGGGATGGCCTGAAATATACAAGATGTTCATAAGTTACATACAAATAGTATGCCCTCTTTCACATGGGACTTGAGCATCCACAGATTTTGGTAGCCTTAGGCCTCCTAGAACAAATCCCTACAGATACTGAGAGATGACTGTATTCTATTAATCTTTCTTTTATCTCCACTGCTGGAGCCCACTACTTTCAAAATGGCTTTCAAGCTAGAAATTCAATTGATTTTGCTGCCACAAAATTATTACAAAAGTTGTTATTTTCTCATGGAAGAGCCTGTTTTGATTTTATAATAAAGCTTTTTCTGCCCAACAATTTATTTTGACCTGGGAGACAGGCTTTTCTCAGAAGTATTTAATAAAGGAATGTGAAAAACATGAGGAACAGACTGAAAGAATTTGAAAAGGATGAAACTCTAGTATGTTGATTCAACTATTCTAAGGACCCTTTCCTTCATTTCTTCTGTCTCTACGACGCTTTAGAAGGGAAAAGATCCAAGAGTTATATAGTGTCTATAAAAGTTTTAGAATTAATGGCCCCAGAAAATTTCCTTACATATTTTTATTGTAATGGACATTGACAAAAATGCTGTATGGGAAATAGTGCCTTTATCAAATTTAAGTAAGCACAATCATTTCTCTTTGTGATAGAGCAGAAGGAAGATAAAGGTTGTTATGTGAGTGTATAGTGCGGGCAAGGACTAGACAACGTTTGTTTAAATTTCTTGAAAACTAAGGAGTTTGGTTATTCAAAATACATGTGCTGGTTTGTAGGAAAAAAGTAGTCAATGAATAGTTCATCATCATGATTTTTTCTAAATAGTAAAAAAATATAAAAATATAATACACTGGTGCAAAGACATGGCTGTGTTGTGTGATGGTGATGATGGGTGATGATGATGATGATGGCAATGATGATGATCAGATTTAAGGAATTAGAAGATATATAGGCCATTTTGCCAGTTTGCAGAGCAACCAAGGCATAAACTTGTGAGAGTGGGCGTTGTATATTTCTTAACATCAGATATCTCTTATGAAGTGAGCCTGGAGATGGCGCTGGGAAGCTGACAGGATGTGGATATTATTTTCTTGTTTCTAAAAATTGGAATATGAGGGCTGGGGAGATAGCTCAGTGGCTCAGGGCCTGCCTGGCAAGTGCAAGGTTCTAAGTACCAAAAACAAAACAATAACAACCAAAAAAATTGGAATATGACTAGGATTAGTGGTTCCATTCAACCCAGCTATCTCTCTTCTGGGTATTTTTCCAGAAGAGTTGAAAACATCATAGCACAGTGATATATGTGCACTCATGTTTATAGTAGCACAATTTGTCATAGCTAAATCTTGGAAACAATCCACATGCCCATCAGCTGAGGAATGGATAAAAAAAATGTGGTGTTTTTATACAACGGAGTATTACTCAGCTATAAAGAAGATAAACTGGAGGCATTTATAGGTAAAAGAATGCAACTAGGACCATATTCATAAGTGAAATAAATCAGACTCACATGTGTAAACATCGTATTGTCTCCCCAATGTAAGAAACTGAAAGAGTAAATAAAATCCAAAAGGTACAATAGATATTATGAAAGGGAAAAAACTTGCTTGAAAGGAAAGAACAACTGAAATGGGTGAAAGGAGAAAAGAAAGAAGGAAGGTATATATATATATATATATATATATATATATATATGATATCTAAGATAATTGTACTACTAATTTCTATTGGTTTATTGAAAGAAACAGCAATGCCTAATTGTTTGATCAATTTTGCATGCCTATATCTGGTAATCTGAACAACTACTTTGAAGATAACAATATGCAATATAACGACCATTGTTAATTTCCTATCATCTTATTTTGAAATTCTGTTGCATTTTTGGTTTTTTTCTTATTTTTATTCTCTTTAAAATTAAAAATAAATAAATAAAATAAGAATTGGAATATGAGAGGATGACAGTGCAAAGATGCTTACCCTGCAAAAACAACTAATATGGATTTTGTTATGAAAGAGACTGATTGACTTAGGCCTGGGAGGTAGAAGTACCACGGGCTTATTACAGTTCTGGAGACCTTTGGCCAAAGTGTGCTCATGTATGTAGGTGTGTGGTGAGGAGATGAAATATCACTGAACAGGTTTACTAGGTGGGATTCAAGGTCAGTGACCCAAAAGTCTGACTTTGAAACCATGACCCAAATGTTCAGAGTAATGGTATTTGGGGACAATAATCCAACTTTTAAAAGTTCCAAAATCTTTAGTATGTATGCACAGAACTCAAACTTAGATTTCATACTTTTGCCATCAATTATTAATACCAAATCTAAAAAGATGTTTTTCTATGTTTCTACAATGGTAGCAGCCTTTATTTTCATAAGGTGAATAGTTCTTTTTAAAAAGCATCCTCTTTATAAATATCTATGATATTAGTTTGCATTTGGCATGTTCTAAATGATCATTAATTTGACACACATTTCTAGAACAAATATTTATGTTTTCTTCTAGGTCTTAAAAATACAGGCCTACCTTTGCCTCAAGGAATTTTTGAAAATGCTTATTTTTTATGCTATGAGATTAGATATGTATGGCTGAGACTTAGAAGAGTCTTTAAAAGCTTCATATTGACATGTAGAATACATAATCATAAATTTACTATGAGCTAAGTACTTCATAAATTTGACTGTTCTTTGCTTTTAATTTCTGTTGTCCTATCCCAGAACATATCATGCTGAGACACCCTGGTGTGCTATAAAAAATTTCAAGTGGGCTAAGAAATTGATTCCTTCAGTTCTTGGAGAAAATTCAGCATATATCTCTATGATATCATGGGAAAAACTAATTTCCAGTGAGCTTTTAAAATGCAAAAGATTGGATTTGCTCTTCTTCCATCTTGCTTTTTAGTTCATTTTTCTCTGCTCAGTTTCTAACATTGTGGTGCCCTGGAAATTTGTCCTTGGACTCTTTTTTTTGGAAATCTACACATTATCTTCAGGTGACTCCCTTTACTTTCAAGACTTTAAATAATATTTACAGGCTGTGACTGCCTATATCTCCAACATGATCTCTCTTTGGAATTCAAAATCCATATCCAGTATTTAAGACATACATCTTCACATGTGTGTCTAATTCCTCCAGCACACGAAGGGCCCCAATGGAATGCCTTAGTTCCCTGGTCCCCAAACCTGCCTCTATTCTAGTTTCCCCATTTCAGTGAAGGCCCTGCAGAGCAGCCTTTTAACAATTACCCAGATAAAGAAATTGAACAAGATTTTCTTGTAGCCTTCCTGTCACTACTACCTCACTCCCTAATGAATGCTAGGAATCGGTATTCTGATTTTTACGGTACATACTGCTCTGCTTCTTTATACTTTTACCATGCTGGTGTGTGAACCCATAACATTACACATGGGTTTTGCCTGGTTTGACTATTACACAAATAATTTACTCTCATTGTCTTTAGTCAGTAATGTATACTAGGCTTAGTGTCTACTTGCATAGGTCAGCTATCTATCTGTCTGTCCATCATCTATCTATATATCTAACATTTATTTATTTTATTCTTCATGCCTTCCTTCCTGCATAGAATGTTTAAGATGGTTTATAAATATGCATGCAATACAATAAAACAAAGAAAAAGCCAAGAAAAAGAAAACTAGTAGAGAAAGAAATAAAATGAAGATATAATAACAAAATCAGAGGCATAAAAACAGCACTATTTAAAGTTTGGGGTCTGAGCTTCCTGGGGCAAACGAAAGCATAGGAACATGACTAAGAGGAGTACTTCAAGTGTGACTGAAACAACCAGTTTAACAGTTCCTCATTTTACAAAGACACAAGTCTATATTTTTCCTTTGTGTAAGTTTTCTTGGAAAGATGCCTGACAATGACACTAAATTCCCCAAGCTGCCTTCCTGCCCCTTCTCACCTGCACTAGGGGTTTATACCAGCGCATGCGCATTGAGTCGGATCCTTCCCACTCCTTGAGAAGTGTGTGGAGATTTCTTTTGTAACTCTATTTTCACGCAGCTTCACCTGCAGTCTGATAACTTTGCTTTGTCTTCCACATTTCTTTTCTACATGTACTCGTGGTTTTCTCTAATTGCATGAAATACCTACTTAAATTCAATTTTACTCTGAGTGCAGGAAATGCATATTTAATTAAGATTAAATTCAATTTGGAACTTTTTAGTCTTGCGATTTACTACTGTAGCTATCTATCAAGGTGTTTGCATTATGGCAAACTATTTTCTTCAAATATGTAGGTAGTACCTGACCATTATGAGTATTGTGAAAAGATCATTATATACCAGTTAAAAGGCCAGCATAGACATAGTCACGTTTCTTCAATAATTTCCCCTGCAACTGTATCCTTTGGGCCCTGTGGGACTCAACCGGTGACAAAGAGAGGCCAAAGTGTTTCAGACTTTGTGGAGCATTTAACACAGTTGAAATAATTTGCTTCTTTTGCTCTTTTCTTTTCTTTCTGGAGCTGTCACTGTTAAATGACTGAATTACAAAAAATACTGTGGTAGACACCTTAGCTCATGCCTCTAATGAGCCTGTTGATCTTGCATGCTGCTATCAGATTTCCTCCTCTTACAAAATAAGTAGTCCTTTCCTTCATTTGACCTTAAGGAGAAGGTGATTTGAATAGGCACAGGAAGTTATCTGCTTCTTCAAAGCATTTTCCAAGAGCATACATTTCAAAATCAGATCCCTTGTGCAGGTCCAGCAATCAAAGAAGGTATCAATCTATGATTTCACAGTCTTCAGCTTGTTAACTGAAGCCTTGCTGAACTTCACAAGGTACCACTGAAGGTGTAGTGAAAGGAAAGAAGCTGCCACGCTTTCCCACCCCTTGGGTTTACATCACCGATGCCTCTGATCCCAGTGACAAATGCCAATTCTGGATTCTGTTGGTGCACAGGAGTTGCTAGCCTTTTTGCTGTCCTTGGCATTCAAGTCTCTGTTCCGCACATCAGTCTCCATTTGCTATGATGGTGCTTAGCTGTGTCCTGATAACTTCCTTCCGGTCTAGTGGAGCATCTTCTGCACATGCTTCTTTCTCTGGCACTTGAACCATGTGAAATTCCTCCGCTTTTCCTTACGGGTTTCTGGCACAGCAGGAACATTCTTTTCCTTTTCTTCACCACCCTCCATGTTCCACCCAGAAAGGAGAATAGATTTTCTTAAACTAAGGCTTCTTGCATTGGGGAGGGCTTGTTCAAACTCAGGAATGTCAGGATGCAAATCATTACCACCCACTTTTACCTGGAAAAAGCATGCATTTATGTAGTATTACTTTTTATTTGTGTAGGAAATTATCTGCGCTAGAATACAAAATGTTCATGTGGCTATGGTCATAAATAACCCTGAATTTTGAAAATGAGTCAGAATTTGGGTTTTTCCTTTCCCTCTTCTTCTCTGTCTTTGTTCTTCTCTTTCTTTTCACTCCTCCTATATGATTCTAAGATATTTTTATTATTTTTCAAACATGCTCCAACCCAAGTATATTGGAAGAGTCATGTTACGTATACTGCCATGGTGATCAAAAGCTGGTGCTTGGTTATATCCTGGATTTGTGCCCAAAGCAAACATTCATAGACCCACTAGAGACCTCATCCTGTGTTCTTTTATTTCTCCAGAGATGTATACTAGAGGACTACTGCCAGATTTAAAAACCATTAAATTGCTGAATCATCACATTGGGGATTTTGTGTGTGTGTGTGTGTGTGTGTGTGTGTGCGCAAGCGCGCGCGTGCATGTGCGTGCGTGTGATTTTCCAGGAGCCATCTGGCAATGAGATTTCAGCCAGACACACTTTGATCAAAATCACACTTTGCCCAAATGGCTTTTCATGTTTATTTGCTTGACAGCCAGCCACAAGATGAAGACTGTAAAGAAAATATCAGTAACTGTTCTTAATTTAGGATTAAGTGGAAAAACTATACCTTAGGATTTAAAAAAACAGATTCTCTTTTCTGTTAGTAATTGCATTTGAACTTTGTGAAGGATAGTTGCTTGCTATTTTAGTAGCCTGGATTAACAGCTTCAAAAAGATCCTTTTAAGGAGGTCAAATAGGAAAGGAACACAGCCATTCCCCACCCCCTAATCTCTTCCCTTGAATGAATCATCACACTCCTGAAATGGTTACAACCCGGAGAGAATTATGCTGCCTGCTTTGCTTCAGAACATGTTGGGGTAGGGGAAAGAAAAGACAGTTCCTGCTAGATATAAAAGGAAGATGATTCCTTATCCTGACTTATTTCTTCTGCCATATAACAAGGAACCTTATTCTTAAATGCAGACATTTTAAATTTATAAGAACAGTAAACAATCGAATAATATGTTTTTCATACCGTCTCAGAAAAAATAGCTGTTATATTTCCTTTTTTATCTTCTTCTTCTTTCACCCTTTGTTATTCATTCTATAATGTTTTTTGTTTCAGTATGACAAGAAATCAATCCTCAGTAAAACAAAACAAACAAAATAAGGCTTAAGCCCCTTCTTTCCTGCTTAAGAATTTATCATGCATAATATGCCTTAACTGTGCTTTGTTTTCCCCAAACAACTTCTGACTGTGATAGATCATGTTTAATATTAATGTACTGCAATTGCTTTTGGCAAGAGGTCCTTCACATCCCCATTCTTTTGAGGAGAGAATTTTGTGCTTGATTTTTTTCTGAATGGAACGCAACATTCGTTACTATTCACTAACGAACTTTTTGTGTTGCTTGCTGTTAATTCTGCCCCCTCCTTGCTAATCTAAGAATGGTTGGGATATTTTGGGGTTTGAGTTTATGGATTTAAGTATTTCTTTTGTTCTGAAGAATTTGTTGGGAGTAAGTCAGTACTCACTAAGAAGTAAGTTTGAATGTGCTGACAAGGGTCTTTGATTGCTCTGTATCCTGGTACTGATATTTAACTGAGTATGTAGCTACTAAGTGGTTTTCCAATGTTAAGTAGAAAAATTTTCCATATAGACCAGTCCCTGTGAAAAGCTATGGTCGTTTGGCTACCCTCTTCCTTTCCATTTTCATTTCCCTTTAATGTTTTTGCTTTCCTTATTGCTGTTTGGCTAGAATTAACAATGTCATACTGGAAAAATATTAGGAGGTATTCTGATCTCATTTCTAATTTGAAGTGAAAGTCTTTTAGTATTTAATAGTTAACTCTGATTTTTTGGTCTTTATTTAATGTTTATAAATGCCATTCATCAAATTAAGGAAGTTGTCTTCTCTTTCTACTTGGCTGAGATTTTATAATGATTAAATCTTGAATTCTGTGAGGAAGTGTTATGTGATATTTGTTGAAATGATATAGTTTTTTCTCCTTTATTCTATTAATACAGTGAATTATTTTGACTGCTTTTGGAGGTGGAGGAGACTGGAAATTGGACCCAAGGCCTTCACACTGAGCTATGTTCCTAGCCCTTCTTATTTTTAATTTTGAGACGGTGTCTCACTAAGTTGCTGAGTTGCCAAGGCTGAACTCAAACTTGCTATCCTTTCGTATGGAATGTAATTGGATCAAGGGGAAGCTACACTTATCAGTGAATTAATCTACCAATGCATTCAACCTGAATGTGCTGTTAGGGGATAGAGGCTGGTTGGAAGAGGTAGGTCATTGGTGGCATAACCTGGAGGCACGTATCTTCCTCCCTGGTTCCTACCTTTACTCTGCTTCCTGGCCACCATGACATAAGCAACACTCCTATGCCAGGCCCTTCCACTTCCTTTTCCTGCCTTGGTGCCTACTGACTATGGACTGAAATATGTAAAAATCATGAGCCCATGTAAACCTCTCCTTTAAGTTGTGGGTGCTGAGCATTTTATCCCAGCAACATGAAAGTGATTAAGTCATGTTTTGATACCAGAAGTGGGGTTGTTGTGATGACTTTCCTGACCAAGGAGTTTAGAAAGGGTTGGAAGTGATCTGTGTGAGGACTTTGAAAAGGTTTGGAGATGCCAGCTAGAGAAACTCTAGAATGCTATAAGCCAACCTTGTTGGGAGACTGTGGTTAGAGCTCAGAAGATCATAATGCTGACAGAAATGTAGACAGCAGAAACCTTTTTCCTGGTACAAATAGTCTGTCCAAGCCAGAGGGAGACAAAGTAGCTTTTATGAAGTTCAAATTTACCTTGACTTTAATAAAAAGTCATAAAGTCATCTTTATATTTAGGATTTGGTGTCATGAATTATTAGACTATATGATATATACTCAAAGTCAGTTGGCTACCCTCCACCTTTAAAAGATCATTTGAACTGAGTACACATTTCTCTGCATATGAAGCGGTGTTTTTCTTAGTTCTTACAAAAATATAGACTCCTTAATGATTCTCCCAATATTCTTTTTTTTTTTTGAGACAGGGTCTCACTATGCAGTTCAGGCTGCCCTTGAACTCACTATGTTGCCCAGCCTGGCCTTTAACTCAAGGAGATCCTCCTAACTCAGCCCTCCAAGTGCTGGAATTATAGACATGTGCCACCATACCTGGCACAATATTCTTTTTCTAGTTTATTCTTTACATGGTTTTCAGAGTAAGTCTTACAAAACATAAATTTGAGCATGTTGCTTTTATTTGAAACTCTGAGGGTTTGTAAGGTTCTTTATGATCTGGCCTCTACCTACCTCTTCTAACTAATTTTTCAACATGTTCCCCCTAACCCCATATTAACAAATTACTTTGTAACTTAAACCTGTGCTTTAGATCCAGTTTGTGAATCCTTACAGTTAGATAATAGTAAATTCTTTCAAAACTGTGTATGGTCCTTGAAAGTCAGAAATGGGCCTCAGGCAAACCACTTTGCCAGATTAGTTAGCTGTTGGTGGTGGAGTTATACAGTTGTTTAGTTGTGAAAAGGAGGAAATGTGGATTTAAAATCAGTAATACAATGGGTGGAAAAAACATTCTCTGTAAACTCTTAAAAGGAATCTTGAAGACTACATTTCTGCATAGTTTATACTCATTCTCATTTTGAAGTCATCAAAAACCTACATATCTCGTGTTTGTGTGTTGACGTGGGAGGAAGGAAAGCTATCCGTGTTGCTCCTTATCCATACGCTCGGAGCCATAAAGCATGCTAGGGTCGGTTACACTGTAGAGATCGACACCTTTAGTCTAAGAACATTGACTTTCTGGAACTGTCTCCTGACTGGCTGGAATGTTCAGGGCATTTTTATCCCTGCCTTTCAGGCAGCATCCTCTTCAAGTGGATGACCATGGATCCAGAGAAGCTCTCAGAGAAGCAGGAGGAGATTCTGGCTGTCCTGGAGGAGAAGTTTCCCAACTTGCCTCCAAGAGAAGACATCATCAGCGTCCTGCAGGAGACCCACTCCAGCGCACACAGTGAGTGGCTGTCGGCAGCACTCTAGCTGCTGCTGAGTAGGGATGGCTTGTGCAGGGCCATCAGGCCCAAGAGGGGAAATGCACGTGTTCTTTCACTTTTTTCCCACAAAATAGCTTGTGGAAGATTTTTCAGGCTCATGGTATTGGCTACCTGTGTCATGCCTCTCCTTGAGGCCCTGGAGTCTGCATGCGGTTAATCCCAGTGCCTAATGTACACCCCAGATGCATCCTTACCTGCAGTCCTTGTGTTGACAGAGTTCTGTTTTGAGCATGTGGCAGAAGCAGTGTCAAACACAGTGGGATTTGGTAAATCAATTACTCCTAGAAAGAAATGATGGAGAAGATGGCTAAGCTGATGAAATTGTTTTTGAAGGCTAGGCTTTACCAGAATGATGAATTTCCTGGATCCACTGTTTCATAGTAACACATAGCTGTAGTGCATGGAATGGCTAATTTACACAGGCTCTGATGGTACAGTTTTGCAGGGTGGTCTTCCTGAGCCCTCATCACCCTGAGTCAGGTGCCGTATGATACTCATTTTAGATGAGAACACTGAGCATAGAAAGGTTTTGTGCTTCCCCAACAGCAAGGACACACACCTGGCAAGGGGCCAGATCAGGCTCTCGACCTGAACGATCTGTCTTTAACGTGCAAGCATTAAGTAGCATGACCTCTTCCCTTACTTTAAGATTGCCTAGGAGCAAAGCAGTTTATTGGGAGTGATCCCAGATGACTTGGATGGGAATGGAGTGCTTTATCAAGCAAGTTAGCTTAGTGGGAAATCAAAGCTGAATCCCACTAGGGAGCCCAGGGAGAGTGTAAAATTGTACTTCCAGGTGATCCCACCCGAAGGGTGCAGTGGTGTGCAAGCATGTGTTCGCTCTGACCCCAAGAACTGTTGGTGACATTTTCAGGAATTTTGTGAGTTGGATGATGTTAGACTGGTAACTTGAGATTAGCCATGGTAGCAGTATGCCACACCAGAAATTCACAAACATTGTAAGCTAGATTTTATTACTGGTTGTTGAACATTCACCAGTAGACCCTTGGGGTAGTGAGGGCTCCTAGTCCCAGCGGGTGTTAATTCTCCAAAGTAGGCTCTGGTAGCCATAGGAAGGTTTCAAGAAAAGATGCAGGCGTTGATGGTGCTGGATGCCTGAGAAAGGGAAACCTGGGGAAATGTGAGTGGGGTATGGACAGTGCCTGCCCCACCTCCAGTGACCTGTGTGGGTGTGTATAGATGCACAGCTGCAAAGTGGCATGCATTTTGTTGTTCATTTTTAAAGCTGTACCAAATGTTTAATGTCACAATATACCCCATAAATCACTTTATGCTGCAGTAGGAAAATGAGTGGTCTGTGATCATCTAGTCAAAGAAAAATGTTTAGTGTCTGTTGGTTTCCCCACGCTGCTGTGTTCTGGGTTAGTGGAGTGGGCAGTCAACCTTGATGTCTTAGCAAGCACCTGGGAAGGTTACATGTGCTTTCCTAGGCTTTGTGATGGATATTCTCCCAAGTCAGGAGGCCTATTCAGGTATAATAATGTAGTATGATAATTAAAGGTTGAGCCAGACATTTTTCTGATTTGCTGTGATAGATTTCATAAAGTTCTCTGGTCAACGGACTATGACTATGCAGGTTTGGATCATTCAGGTGTTGCTCCCATCAGTTAAGGCAATTCAAGAATCCTTAGTGCCAGAGCCCATTACAAGGGTTGCCAGTTCAATCGTGATAGTTTTATGGGCCACATCTGTGTTTGGAATAAAATTATGCTATAAATTATAAAATTATAGGAGTTCATCTAAATGTACCCTATAAGCAAATACTAGGCTGGTCTGCATGGTTATACTTGCTCTCCTTCATTTTACTACCCCTGCCCATTCCCTTCCTCCACTCCCTAGAGTGGGCCTTCAGAGGCAGAACCCTGAGTCTTTCACCTTCTGGGCTCTCTTAACAGTTGCTCCCGCTTGACTTTGGCCAGTGGGGGGAGTTAGCAGCCCATAGAAAGCTGGGTAGAGGGCGGGAGAGGAACATACTGTATATATCTCCCCTGCTCCCTTCCTGCGTGGGTGACAAGCTTCTGGTGGCCCCTGTTCTTCAACCTCAGGTCTCTGCTTCCTTTGTCCCCCTGCTAGTCTCCGGATACCTCACCATCTGTCACTTGCTCTGTTTAATCTGGCGCACATCTCTGTGAGGGTGCTGCCATGGAAGAATTTTTCTCTACTCATGAGAGGGGAATTCTCTTTCCTTCTGGGATCTTAACTGATGCACTCATTGTCACAAATGTGTTTATTGTGCTAGTGTGTGTGGATTTATTATGGATAAAAGTGATACAAAGGACAAAATATTGAAATTAATGTAGTGATTTCCTCAAATAATACCTTGATATTATAAAAAAGTTTCCCAAATACAATGGTTTTCCCCCTGTTGTTCACAGGTTTAAATACTGAGCAAATAATGTTGAAAGATCTGAAGGAACTGTCAGATGGAGAAATAAAAGTGGCCATTAGTACTGTGAACATGAACCTTGAGGTAAGGGTGAGAATTTTTTTTCAGCAATGACAGATTCGCATAACTGCAGTGTGAGTGCCTGAAATACAATTTTCTCTACTGCGTAAGTTAGTGTTAGACTTTTGCTGGGAATGCTTCTTTGTGATGTGCTTGACTTGGAATGCAGGTTATTATTTTAAATGAAAACATTCTGCTAAGTCGATGAAGAATGCTAAACCTGGATTTTCAACATGAGTGCTGTTTTGTTCATCTCAGTAATAGCAATAGTATCTGATTGGGTCTACTTCCACATTTTCTGCTCCCTACAAGTTGTCTTTGACCTTTGTAAGCTATTTGGACATGTACTGTTTTGGTAATCAGTGATGACAACTCAGATATCAAGAGGGAACCTGCTTCTAATCTGGTAAGTGAATGACTCAGAGCAAATCTATTCATGTCTTTGTGTCTTTCCTTGGTAAATTGTCTACTTTGGGGATTTTCAGTGACTTGTGTGTTAATCTTAATTAACCAATTAATAGGAGCTGTGTTTTATCAAATCACATTTGTACCTTTGCAGAAGTCTGCATTTCTTTACCCTTCTGTTGCCTTGGTCAAGCTTCCCATCTGCAGTGGAGGCACCTAGCTCTTGGATCAAGTGTACGGAGACATATTTTTCTGTGTAGGAATTTGTCTTTTACTCTTTAGAGTTGCATATCACTCTTCTCTGTTCCGATGATGATGGTGACTATATAAATGTGTGCATTTCTGGCTGTGGACTCCAGCAAGCTGGGAGCTTTTCTCAGTGATCTCTTTGTAAAATTTATTTCCAGCTGAGTAACCTCATAATTCAGCTCATAGATCTCCATGAGTACCAGGAGGTGGACTGTTGTCATGTTATATAGTGTCTCATAGTTCACAGAGTTCATTTTTATTGTCTATAGTTAGTAGATTGACAACTGTTTCTAGGGACTTCCTGATTGATAAATGTTCCATGTAATTAGGTGTGGATGTGAATCAATATAAGAAACACATACAATTTGGGATGTAGTAACTAGATAATCACCTTCAATTAGAAATCTGCTTTGTGCCTACAAACCCAAGGAAAACATGGCTCTTGCAAGGGTCAGTAGCTCTGAGAATCATTTCTACCAGTTCAAGCCTTAGGCTTTTCTTTTTCCTTTCTCCTCCTCGTACCATTTCATTTAATGGCATCTTATTAGGTTTTAAATGCCTTGTTTGGAATTCCTCTCGAAATTAACAGCACATCTTGTAATTGCTTAGGGAATTGTCTATAGTTAGCAAATTATTTTAAAGCTATTAATATTATAGAGTTATTGTAGCTTTAATATACCTTCATTTGTATTACAGTAGTATACAAATAGCTTTGTCTAGCTTTGTCAGACATGTTAAACTGTAAATGTGTATCAAGCAGAATCAGTGATAAAACTATCATCTTAATCCTGACAGTCATTTACATAAGGACTCCAGCAATTAATCAGGTGGTTAAGTAACTCTCCAGAAGCTGCTCTCTGGTCTTGGGTGGGGGATGGGGGGAGAAGGACATTTGCGTGTGTGAAGAAGGAGCCACAGTTTAAACTCTAATCAGTTGAATGAGAGTTTTCTACCTTTGCATTGTGGGGCTCTTCAAGGTGACTGAGAAATAGAGAAAAGACTCCTTAATAACACTTCATTTCTTCCTGGAAAGAGGAAAATGCACATTATTTACCCAAGTAGAAAAAAATCCTACTATTAAGGGCAGAATTTGGTTTTCTTTACAGATCACTCAGTCCCCACTCACACCTGACCACATGTCAGCATTCTTTTCTCATTCCCAGTCACCTCACCTTTAAAAACAACGATAGGATCTCTACAATTTCATCGTGCATATTTTGGAAGTTGTATAACTACCCATTAAATCTAGATACAGTCTCAAAGAAATCTTCTGCCTGTGATTTTGTAAATCTTGTTTGTCCTGCAAAGCATGGTCCACGAAGGTGCCTCATGGTTACTCCGGACATTGTCTGCTTTTTATCATCACCCTCTGAGCTCTTTCAAAATTTAGCTTCAGTGACCAACTTAGGACTTAAATGCATGCTATGTCTTACATTCATTTTGATCTTGTTTCATATATTTAATCCCAATTAGATTAATACTTTGAGTTCATTGAGGTTAATAATGCTATTGTTGACATCAGCCTTCCTTCAGTTTTTGGCACAGTACTGGGCAAAGTAGTAGGTGCTTATTAAACACAAATATTCAGTGAATATCTATTCATATTTTCAGTTTGCTCCTTTAATATATAATTTTCATTCCTTTGATTTAAATTTTTTTTTTCTTAAGACAGGGTCTCACTATGCAGTTCAGGCTGGCCTTGAACTAACTTTGTAGCCCAGGATGGTCTTGAACTCACAACAATCCTCCTGCCTCAGCCTCCCAAATGCTGGGATTACAGGTGTGCGCCACCACACCCGGCTGATTTTAAATTTTAAAAATGCCTGCCTGGGCATCCAATACAACCTACTTTATTCCCTTCTAATTTCTTTTATTTTTTATTTTTTATTTTTTATTTTTTATTTTTTATTTTTTTATTTTTATTTTTTATTTTAAAGAATAAAAGAAGGATAACATAATAATAGGGGGGACTTAGCAAATTACAGACAAAATGGTAGGAAATTATCAATGGTTACCATTTTACATATTATTGTCTACAAAATAGTTTCTCAGGAAAACAAATAGACAAATAATAGTGAGTTAGAGACAAAAGAGGTAGGAGATTATCAAGAGTTGTTGTACTATACTTTGGTATCTTCAAAGTGGCTTCTAAAGAAAATAAATAGAGCTATACATGAGTGACCTATTGAAAAATCGTTAACTATTCTCAATGGTTGTTGTAGGAAACACATAATAATAAACATACATCCATTTATGAAATAGGATAGGAACATTACAAACTTTACACAGTTATGGATAGATTAGTAGGAAAATATCAATGGCTGCTGTAATACGTGGTGGTATCTTCAGAGTGGTTTCTCAGGAAGACAGAGATATGTAAGAGGGACCTATTAACTAGTTACAGCCTAAGGGTTGTCAAAAATAGCATATTACCTCCTCACCAGTGACTCCTTTCACTGAGGTATGATGGCTGGAAGGAAGGCCAGGAGTGAAAAGAAGGACCGAGAGACTTGCACCTGTGTCTAGCAACAGGCTGTTTTCTTGTTCCTCCATAGTCCCTTCCAATTTCTTTCAAACAGTTATGACTGAAAGCTGACATCAGATAGACAAAAAGTGCCCACATATTTGTGGGTAGTAACACTTACCTAGCCATCAAAAATGGTGTGGGCAGCTTTGGGAAGTAATGAGCTTCTGAAACCAGGAAGGACCAACCTGAGGTTCCAAGGCACAGCAGGGAAAAGGGAAAGCAGATGCCTCGTGTTTTCAGTGGTCTGTTGTAATGCTGTAACTTCACACTTCTACATGCCATGGCCTCTGTTTGCCTGATGACCAAAGTAATTTAATTTTCTTGGATGGAAATATTTAGAAAATTAAAAGGATTTATCTCTTTGTCATGTGGACAGCAGGCTGTGCCCAAGAAATCCCTGATTTGGGAGGTGGGAAGCATTGCCCTGGACAGCGAGGTGAACTCTAGCCCTCTGTGATAAGGACAACGTTTCCAGACCCTTTCCTCTTATTTTTATTGCAGTAAATCTTGCAAAAGATAGCTGTGGCCTAAACAAGGTTCTATAATATTAGTTATGGGATGAACTACCATAAAAAGGAAATTATTCTAATAATACAGAGTTTCAGTGCTTTGCTCTGTGTATGAAGGTACAGTGAAGGTGGCCTTGAGCCGGGACAGCAGTATTTAAAGTCGGCGGGGGCAGCCTCTTGCCGGGCGACTGTTGGAAGCTAGGGCTGTAGGAAAGTCACAGAAATCCCATCTCACCTGCGGCCTGGCCATTCCGAGTCCAGATGCTGTGGGCGTCAGTAGTGGAATCCTTGCTACGGACTGCTGTTGTGCTGATCCTCTGTGCCCTTCTAGTGCTTGCCCATCTGGCTGTCAGAAGAGAGTTCATGGATCTCAAAGCACCTGGGTAACGGGAATGAACTCTGCGTTTATTCCTTTGTGAGCAGCACAGGTAGTGATTCTGCCTCTGGGGCCTGGTTTGTTCCGTGGCAGAGCAGTGTGTTATGACATTAAAGGGAAAGGGCACACCGTTCCTTTCTCACACGGAGCCACTGACGTGACTGAGGCTGCTCATGGCAGCACCACATTAATAGTTCCTGTGCTGACACTGAATATCACTACATCTCCTTCAACCGCCCCTCAAAACAAATTGCAAGTCACATGTATCTTTCTTCAGGAAGGAAAATAAGCAGATAATTCCCTTTATGTATGCCCGTGTCCAAATGACCCCCCACTTAACCAGAATATTAGTCACGCTGTCGCTGGTGAGTGTGAGTTCCTCACGGTATGTAGGATGGAAATTAAACAGGAGCTGATTCTTGAGTCTGCCTGTAACATCACCGTTACCCACCAGCTTCTTCAGCTTCCTTTGAAGGAGGCCACCTCCATACTGGCTTCCAAGAGGTTGCCAATCATCTGAGGGGGCTTGCTCCACTTGTATAGAAAAAATATGAATTGGCAAAGTGTAGCTCTGTTAGTGTTAACAGTTCTGGCCTTTCAATGCCAGCAACCAGCAGATCTTTCAGTGGGAGTGGCCCTACTTGCCACTGGGAGCCAGGAGCTGCCAGCAAGTCTTGGGGGCTGTTCTGTTGCTCTCCATAGCTCTCCATTGTTCTCTGCTGCTTCTGTGTTACCAGCCCCGGTTACTGGTGCATTGGCTCAAACAGCCTTCGTGTTACCAACTCCTAGAGTACCAGCTCAGCATGCTCTGCTGGAGACGGAAATCACAAACAGGCAAGGATATGTCACCCAGACATATTCAGTCCTTGCTTAGGACTTACGATGCAGCACAAGGGGAAGCAGTACATGGGTTGAACTTACTCCAGGTGTGGGGAGGCTGCTTATAAGGCAAACATTC